AGTTCATCAAATTAAATCTGCAGAATGGCAGATAATAACACGCGTGAGGTGGGGATGCTAATGTAACTTGATGTATCTCAGTTATTATGCAAATTGAAAACCTTGAACCTAGATTAAAGTAGCCCTACTTTAAACACGCTGTAAGTCAATTATTGTAAAAAATGAACGTATTTGAAGAACAAAAACTATGAGAAGTATAAAGTTGTGTTTGAATTTTTAACATTGTCTAGTTTAAATGCCTATAAGCCTATCATCGTCAATGACTACTTTATTCGTGGCTCATATTGCATATTGTTCATTATACCAACTAGCGCTATACTCTGCCTACGTATAGTTAATTTATACAAAGAGCTAACTAGGATGCCAGCTTCAATTATCTGTTCATCGAACGCTACCCTCTGTATGTAGACGGCTGAATCCTTAGTTGATATGGGATTTATACTGTATTTTTCCATACAAATGTTATCTGATGATTTAAAAATGTCAATAGGGGTTTTTACATAGCGCATTAAACAAATGTATTTTTCCCGGTTTACCCTACATATTTAACAGTTTGAAAGAAATATTACAAATTATATTTTTTAGAATAGTATTATTTTATTTCAAACTGTGTCCAATTTCAAAACAAAATTATTACAAGTGGTAGTTTTATTGCAACCACACCTACTATAAGCAATCTCTAAGTAGACTCAAACGTATATTTACCACGCTCAATTTCAACCCAAATCCTGGTATACAGAATTATACTTGTTTTTAAAACATAAAAGTTTTTAGAATACATTTTCATAATTTAATGCAAGGCGCATTATTTGTTAATAACTTTCAGAACTGACTTCCTTATGATTAATGTACCTCATATGACATGGGAGAGCGATATGGTCTAGTGGTTAGAGCGAGGGACTTTGGTTCCTGAGGTCCCGTGTTCAAATCCCGCCGAATCACCAATGGACTTTATCTAAGTAATAATGCCCCAACCCCTAGGTCTAGCCTGAAGTACTGTGAAAAAACAATTCCGGGATCGTTCCTAGCGTCCACAAAAAACACAAAAAATATGTACCTCATACTTTGTTTATTTGCTGGGTTAAGTTATTAGCTTTACAAACATTAAAAACACGAACTCGAAAATAAACAGATTAAATAGGATATCCGAGGAACAAAATATTAAAGGGATTCTTTTATAAGGCACTAGTCGCGCACTTTGTGCTTGAAAGGTAATGGCATATACGAGTACCATTCAGGCAGTTGGGTACTTTGTACTTTACACTGTCGAAGACCCAAGCACCAAGGATCCAAAATATGGTTCTAAATCGTGTTCTGTAGTAAATTAGTTTAGTTTAAATATTTAAAAATGTCAGTGAATCTACTTCACTGTTCTTTTCATAATCCTGAAAACTGTACATTTTGATGGGTCAAAGTAGGAATACTTTACGCAACTAATATACAAGCTACAGCAACAATTAGACTGTGGATCTCTGTTTATGATTAGTTCGATTATAAATCGCAGCTAAGGATTCAAATTGTCAAATACGCATGATAAGGTTAAATTATATACTTGGTTTACTCTCAATGTCAACCACGTTATTAACAATGTGACAAAGCCCGTGATTACATTCCAATTACGCCAATTACATTCGGAGTCCATTACAGTGTATTCTGTGTTCCTTGCACCTGTGGTACATTTGTGGAAGGTTGGCTACCACTCCAATGCTCTGACCATCACCTTGTCTTGGATTCTAATTCTGTTTGGATGCAGATACGACTATTGTTCTATTAATTACCAGTTGGCCTGTTAATTCAATGTGAGCATAAAACCAAAGCTTCCTGTGTATTCAAGAGGATATTATATCATTAATAAAAACGCTTTTCTCATTTTTTCAGCTAATTTTGATTAATCGAATTCATCGGATTATTGATCTTTGACACAGTTAAACTATTATTACTGTTTAAAGGTCAAGGTTGTGCTGTTGAACTACCTACTAATTATATTTAATGGTATCGTTATCGTTATGCCACGTAATCTATCTTTCAATCCATTCTTTTTCTTTTTGACTACGGAAATATAGTGTCAAAGCTAGGGCATAGTTTTTGGATGTTAGATTTTTATAGTTTAAAAACTCTGTATCTGTATCTCTGTATCGGTATTGACAGTGTATATTGCTGTTATTACCACATTAGATTTGTAAACCTTTGCTATATTAGTGAAAGCTATATCCGAATAATTGTTCATCGATCACAAAATAAATAACGTCAAACGACATCTCTGGCCACACCCACGCTTCAGACCTACTCAACCCAATTGACTGACGCTGAGGTTGGATTGTTGGAGTAGTGATTGGACGATACTTTCCTGTACCGACTGCAACTAGCACTGGTACATTGTAATATCGGTTGCCAAGTAGTGATTATTTTGTATTAGTTATTATCTTTTTATTACTCGCGCATGGACCCGTTAACACAAACACACAGGGGCAGTTAGTAACTTAGGCCCAAAACACCTAATAAATACTGCAGTCCTTGTTTCTGTGTACTAATTCTTACGTTTAATTTCCAAAATTGCTTATATTTTAGGTTCAATTTAAAAAATTGAAATATTTCCAATTGAAAAATATGAAAGCTATTCGTGGCTTCAAAATGGAATGTGATTAACAGCTTAGTAATATTATGGATAGATATTTAGGTACTTATGAATTATTTTGTAAAACCTAACCAGATTTCTGGTAGGGGAATACTTAAACGATAGTTATGAACGATATTAAACTATATCGTGATGCTTAGCCAAATAAATCATGCTGCACTTTCTGCGGGGTTAAAATAGCTGTCCATCAAGTATTTTTCAAGGGTATAATTTTGACAGTGTTTATAGAATCAAATGTTTTCTAATACAATATCACATAGGCCACGCATAGTATTATCTTCGTAAGGAAGTAATCAGGCGTCTTCCAATATTGTATGGTATTAAACAATGTAGTAATGTAGTTTCCTTGTGTATAAATTATACGTTAAAAGAGTGTTGTGCAGTGTGTACATTCGTAACACTTTTACCTATGTTTGTTGTTACAATATCGGCTAAATGAGCAATAGTTCAAGTTCATAGTTTTGTTTAACTAAACTAAAACATGTGGACTAATATGAATACAGACGAAGGTTGAGTACTTCCTAACAAGGCCTATAGTTTATTTTAAAATAAATCCTAATATGTTTCAATCATCAAAATATTCGAGAAATTTAACTCTCAAACACAGGAAAAAAAGTATTGTCTCATTGACTGCTCACTTTACATTTTCCAAAATACTCTGTGGAGTAAGCGAATTCCAATGATTTTATTAACTTTTATGAAACAGGTTCATAGCAACTTCAAAATTTATACTTTTATGTGTATACATGCTCAATATGAAAACACGAGGATCAATAGGAATGTTCTTAGATTACGAAGAGCAATCAAACCAGTGTGTTGTATTGGTTCAATTTACTATCGTCAAAATCCGTTAATTAGCGAATCTTATGAAGGAACTTCATAAACGATAAATATACAGCACTAGCACTTAATCGTTTGCATAATGTAAAATATTACATGACACATAATAAAAACGTACTGTTGAAAAATACGAATAAATCAGATGCATTATGATTTAGCAATTTTTCATTAGTTACTAATTTTTTCGTGCTTCCTAACAACAAGTGGTCTTTAACTTGAACGTGATGGGGTTTGTACCGTTACCTTATGAACAAAATGTAAAATGTTAACCGGCTACAATACGCAAAGTAAAAATCAAACTAGGACTTCCCAGTCCTTTAACTTGAAAATGTATTTTTAACTTCACACTCATGCAAAATTGATATTATAAAAAATTGATATTATATACAGGGTGTCCCGGAACTCTCTACCAAAATTTTAGTGCATTGCTCCTGGGTAAGAAACATACCTAAATATCATATTTAAATTGTCCGGAAGTCCTTAGTTACTCACACAGCCGCCATTTTGTTTTTTTCGTTATTAATTTTTTTCTAAGGAATGGTTAAACATACGAAATGGAAACTTTGCACAAACATTTATAACAACTAGACAAAGCTACCAAAAAATTATCACGATTTTTCAAATTTATAAAACAAAATGGCGGCCATTTAAAATTTGTGTAAAATCAATGGTTTTTGAGTTATTTAAGAAAGAAAATTTTAAATGGCCACCATTTTGTTTTATGAATTTGAAAAAATCTTCATAATTTTTTTGCAGCTTTGTCTAGCTGTCATAAAAAGTTGTGCAAAGTTTCCATTTCGTATGTTTAACCATTCTTTAGAAAAAAATTAATAACCGTAAAAACAAAATGGTGACTGTGTGAGAAACTAAGGACTTCCGGACAATTTAAATATGATATTTAGGTACGTTTCTTACCCAGGAGCAATGCCATAAAATATTGGTAGAGAGTTCCGGGACACCCTGTATATATATTTTTTTATAAGCTAAAATCCGTCGTTAGATGTCATATATATAAGTAAAGATCGCACCTACCTGAATACGAATGCATGTAAAAAATATATTGAATATGTCAGGATCAACATTTATAAAACCATTGACCATACTTCTAGTAGTACTTAAGTCAATTCTAAGATAAATGGACATAGTACAATCATCTACTAGTAGAGTAGATAAATAGTACAATTAAAAACTTATGTAAATAGATAAAAGGATTTTATTAATAGAATAAGTCACTTGACAGTTGATGTTTTTAACTTTTTTCACGCCGGTGGATTTTTTTAAAGGAGATGAGAGAGACAGAGAGAGAGAGTGTGTGTGTGTGTGTGTGTGTGTGTGTTATTCAAACGCATTTGGGAAAGCGGTCCACATGTTATCAGCATTTATGAAGAAAAAACATTATTATTCTTATAACTTGTACGAAAACATTGAAAGTCCTAAACATGATAGTCATCACATTATACCGATTTAAGTTAAGCTTTATCTGATTGTTTACATATAATTAACTTGTTGACTATTGTATACTGACCTCTCTTGAAGTACGACTGTACACAGCCCATGTTTGCTCTGGTCACATGACAATACAACACACACAGTAACAGAAGTCACTCACACTAACAACACCGTCTACACTGCAACAAGCACTTCTTTGAAGAGTCTCCTTGTAACTGGTATCATATACTGGTATGAGTATAGCAAATATTGTACTAGCTATGTGGTCTAGATATACACAAAATTAAGTATTCATCTAGTATGCATTACGGTTATCTAAAATTATTCAGAAACGGTTATCTATAATTATTATAAATCTCAGCCATAATTTTAATGATATTCCTGCTTCTGCAGGAAAGCCTAGTTTATCCTAGTTTGTAAAGAAATTTAACAACAAGGTTTTGTACGCTACGCAAGAAAGACGAATCTTGGACTTTACTCTAAAGTAAATATGGCCTTGCTTTATTTACTTTTTACACATAATCTGACTTTATGTTCATTGATCGTCAAGTAGCTTCAATATCATTATGATGACAAGTTCTGTGGTAATGTTACGAATCTCTATCTCATGATAACGATGTCGTGTCCACACATCTGATAACAGGTAAAACACAGCCTTGACACAGCATGCTTACACAGCATATCATTCCAAAACCATTGTGGCAAGTTGAAGTTTATTATTTTGATAGCTCAATGTTTATAATGGAAAATCTTCGACTCCATTATGCCCATTACCTAACTGTTGATTTAAATCTTCTATCTTTAAGAGTAAACTATCTTATCGTGATTACTCGTTTGCTGAACAAACAATTAAAATCCAATGTCAAGTAAGTTAGAGATGTTTGTCTGACTAAGTTGTTTGATTAGTGTGATATAGTTTTGTTTTTGTACACAAATCTTTATTTATTATTTACTCCAAAATATTTTGATAAAATTTTGGCTGAATAGTTTGACTGATGATTTAAAAAAAAACCATCAAGTTACTGTTAAATTTGTTACAAACCAAAAGAGACAGCTAGCTGCACATAAGTGAGAGACCAACTTTGCTGTGCCTACTGTAACTACAATCACCTTATCATTAGAACATATTGTATTTTGTGTACTGATTCATGTTTACTAGAATAGATGTACGGACATGCAATATCAGATAAGAAAATCAAACCAGTGTGATTATTTTTAATCGAAGAAGATTTGGAAGATTGTGAGATTATATGTGTCTCAACGAATCTGGTTCACACAAGAAATGTATTTCGGTTGAAGCTATTAAAAAGTAAAATAGTTAATAGTTATGTAATCGTATCCAAAAAGCTAAATGAGCGTGGTTTTTACCAACAGATTAATTTCTTGATTAACTAGAGGTTAACTAGTTTCAGCATTGATAAGCTACTGATTTATCAGCGGAGATAAACTACAGTACCAGGTACCACTACAGTAGTATGGAATTTGGGTTTAGTCCCTAATTGGTTGAGTGTATCGGCAAATTTCTTAGGCAGCTTGATACCAACAGATTTTATATTATATTTATGTAGAATTCCCATTCCGTAATCTGAGCTAAGTAACCAATACAAGAAACCACGTACAAAGTTAATTTGTTGTTACATGTACTGTAGTATACAACTAACTACTCTGTTTAAACGTCCCCAGGGTTTGCAAACAGCTCAAAATATTATACCACTACTAATGTTGCAAATGCGTATATGGATATCAGCTTATATGTGTTACAATGAACCGGCTAAGGTTTAAAAGATACTAATTGAATTTAAAATTAATAAAACATAAATGATTATGAATTAAATGTATATCTACTTATAACTATTTTAATCTCACTCAAATCCGTTCATGAGGGGGTGTATTGATGTTTCCTAAATGATAATTTCTTAGTTTGTGTTTTAATAAGTAATAAAAACAACAGAATCCGACAAGTACCTTACACGTGCACTAAATCTAATAATAAATTTCTAGCCTATTTGGTGTTTCAAATTTTTATATAAAGTAAAAATACTAAAGCACTTACAATCACAATTAGCTTTCATTTACAAACTAAACTTATAGGCCATTTTGGAGCACTTCCAAGATTCACCTTAATTTCGCACTAAAGTTAAACAGTCACTACAACGACAATATTTTGCTATACACAAACTGCAAGTATATACCAGTTACAAGACGGGTGTTGTTGTATAGTCACTCACACTAGCACAGTAGCACACAGTACAGTATCAGTATGGGCAAGTTACAGGTGGGGTCACGCACGGATCTATACTGACGCACGACAGACGGGGGTACAGCGGCGCATGCGCACACGCACATACGCAGATCAATCCTGCACAGCCTCTCACGCACACACGCACAATACACAGTCTGTTGGACTCACACAAACCGTAAATCAGTGGTTATTTATTCATTTATTTGGCTGATTAAAACAAAAGTCATAATTTTTTTGTCATTGATGTATATTATAAAATTATAAAGTAATTAGAACTGATTTAGGTGCGGTATTTCTTATTTCAGAGTGAGTTCGTTTTCAGTTTTGATAACTGGAGTGGAGTAATTGATGACATTATCTTTGAGTCGACTCTTTTAGTCATCGGAAATGGTTTGTTCGTCTTGAAATAACGCCTGTAAAACTTTGCAATTGCTTGAATTTAGCTGTAATCGCCATGAAATTCATACTAATATTGCACTTTCAGATCTCTTCAGTGATGATCTTTCACATTTTCCTGTTATGCATATCTACTTAACTTTTCAGTAAAAGTTCTTTGCCGTAAGTAGACTGCTCAAGATCTGCAGGTCAGTTCTGATATTGACCTCACGTCTCGTGTCTCAATGCTATCTGTGGTCGGTCGACAGACGTGACATTGCCACACTCGGACGTTTGTCACTTGTCTCTGTTGATTGACTATCTACGTTACAGTTATTTATTTCCACATATTAATCAACAGTTTGTTCTCAACCTATGGACATGCCATTGTAATGAACGACTAAAAACTACAAAATCGGAAAATTGTATTTAATGTGGTTTTTGTTAGGCCAATTTAAACAAGTTAAAAATTTTTAAGACAAAACTAGCATTATTTTTGTTAAATACACGTGTTCATGTGTTATTATCCATGTAATTCTTTCTTTGTGAAGGATACAAAGTAAGTGCGATTTAGTAAAACGTCTATAACCTCCAAGGATTCACATTGAAGCCCTATTATTTAAGAAATATAAAATCACCATAAAAATAAAGGGTAAAAACTAACATTTCAAATAGCTGAATGTTTGACTGGTATAAATGGTTTTGTTAACTAGAAGTTTGCCGAGAATGTTCATATGTAAAACAGTGCGTTTTGATAAATCATTGTCCGCCACGTTTCATTTTGCCTACCATTAATAACACGTCGTATGACAATGTTCTTTCTCGTAACCAAACCAATTCCGTTGATTGATATTTTTCGGTTTCAGCGCTTTCTTGTCTGATTTAATCTAAATTAATCAAAACCAACACAAATATGTATAATAACTGCTCAAGAGAAACCGTCCGTAAACCTTATATATACAGATAAAAAAGGTGGACAGCAATATTTTTTCCGTATCAAAATTCTTACTTCCGACCTTTACTCAACATTGTTCTGTTTTCTAGGGTAATAAAAAAACAGCACAAAGTCTCTGTGCTCACTTGATTATAAGGCAAACATTGGATTTTTATTAACTTTGTTCAAAAGATTAATCAAAAGTTTGAACTGTCACCTTATAAAAAACATAAACAACAACACAAAGATGTTGAAAAAACAACAGAAAACATTAAACAAATAAGTATACTTTATTATATCCGAGAGACTCGATGTCGACTCATTTTCACAGAAGTCAGAACGGCTTGGCAGTAAGCCACTACAGTATTATAAAATAGACAAGATGTAAATGTCACCTCAACGTAAATTAAATAGTTTCAGGATGGGAAAAGATTGATGTAAACTACTGAGATGTCACTGATTCTTGGGACCGACCTACGATTCTATATCTCTCGACTGTCGTGTCAGTAATGCCATTGGGCGAGATACCAAGACGATACTGGAGCAATAACCATCGTACTGCGCCGTCGTAATCCCTCATACCGGGTCATCAAATAGACCGCGATCGGCATATTAGCGAATTTCCCATATAGGGAATAAGCTTTACCATAGTACTGATGCGGTAAGACCTGGACCCGGGACCGATTTGCTTTTTTGTTTTGAGGTCCCTAGAGGCCAGAACACCGTTCGTTCAAATTTATATATGTGTGTCCGTTAGCGCGATAACTCGAGCAAAAATGATCCGATTTTGATTAAATTTGGTACAAACGTGTAAACCTACATTAATTCGAACGAGTTCGCGAACCAGCATGATCGGACTATGGGAACGGGGGTTTATGGGGAGTTTTATGGGGTAAAAATAGGTTTTCCCATTTTTTCCAATAAAAACACAACATTTCACAATTTCTTTCCAAACCATTTTGTAAAGCTTAAGAAAACAAATAATTTAGTATATTGAACCGTTATTATGCGCCTAATGGTTACGGATAAAATTCCAAAAAATTGTAAATTTGAAATTCCCATGTTATGCTTATGGGTGAATAAGACAACTGTTGAAATTTGCTTGTTTATGAACATATTTTGATCAAATTTAGAAAATAAATTCATTTCTTACTAAACTACAGTATTACCATTTTACAACAAAACACTTTTTACCCCCCCCCCCCTGTTGCAGCAAACCTAAGTACTCGTTAAACTAATTTTATTTAAGTAGGGAATAAATGTGATATTTTTAAGGAGACATTTTAGTGTAGATCCAATCAGGCAAATGGAAATTCGCTAAGTCTGCAGGTTTGCTGCGGCGGGGGTATTTTTTTAACTATTGTAGATTGCTGAAAAAATATTTACTTCAAAAAGAACATTTTAGTTACGTTACATATGTGTTAATCTTTATTATTTTATCTGCATTAGTTAAAAACACAATATGCAGTTCCTAGACTATAAGCTTTATCCAACAAATAAAATATTTGAATGTATAAAGAAGATGTGTATAAAGGTATGGTTTGACATAAATTAAACAGGCTCATCACTAAGGCATTTAGTAATGATAAAGTATATACACACATGATGTATATTACGTTATGACGTGGGCCTATTATACGGCGGAAAAACTTTGTCCTTCCTGAGGAAATTCTCACGGGGAAAACTAAAAGCCAGTATGTTACAACCAAAGCCTGGTAACATCGTTTACGAATATTTCCTTTCTCTAAGTCTCGTACAATTAATAATATAGTAAACGAGTGTTCTTTAGCATCCTTGACAGGTTGATTAGCTCGTTCCGAAAAACCAGAACTTTATCAATGAAATATACTTTATAGTGAGCTGGATCAGGATCTTTAGCTATACGACCGACCCACCGATGGGGCTTTAGTATCATGGTATGATTATTTCTACTGCAAAGAATTGAATCGAGCTACAACTATTTTCAATGTTTTACATGGTCTGCAGCTGGGCTGGTATCATACGGCAAATATTTCTTTTGGCCAGTAGCAGTACGGTAGCATCACTGATAACTCACACAGACACGGCTACATGCTACATCATTAACAACAGTAAGCACTGATAACGTACGTGGACATATTCTGTGACATCAGCACTGATATATCATATCTGGGAATTAGCGTGTCTACGTGTAACATTGACATCACATACTTCTGTCTGTATGTGTAAAAGTATTAATATATTAAAAAGAGTTTATATATTTAAGCATGTTTATATATTATACAGTGTGTAAATTAAGTCTTGAAACAAATCTATCTTTTTAAAACCAAAATAGATAGAAATATTCTGTTAGTGGCAATAATTTTTAACGAAGGTTCCGCAATGTTTTACCTCAAAAATATTTTTAAGCCCTTCAACACGGTAGGGGGTGGGGGTGACTTTTTTTAAATAATAACCCCTATTAACCCCCATCCCCTACCGTGTTAAAGGGGTTAAAAAATATTGTTGATGTGAAAAATTGCGGAACTTATGTTAGCAATTAATTCCACAAACAGAATATTTCTATCTATTTCGGTTTTAAAAATATCGGTTTGTTTCCATATTTTTTGTGAAATTGGTGCTTTTTCACATACGGTAAATCAAATACCTGTCATTTTGCCTAGGGGTGAGATATCCACCTCGGGTTTGCGTCAATGTGTTTTTTTTTTTTTACAAATCCTTTAGAATTAGTGGTCACTAAACAGGCGTTGCTATTTAAAAAAAAAATAAGTCACCCCCTACCCCTTACCATGTTAGAGGGGTTACAAATATTATCGATGTAAAAATTACGGAACCTTTATTAACAATCAACGCCACAAACAGAATATTTCTATCTAGGTATTTCGGTTGAAGAAATGTAGATTTGTTTCACTTAATTTACTTATTTGTTTAAGACTTAATTTACACACTGTATAACTTATTTAAAGTGTTTATATATTAAAACACATTAATTATTATCTGTAGGCCTACCAGGTTCCAACATTTTTATGTCGAATGTTTTTATTCCCCTATATTAAGTCATTCATCAGATATAAATATTTACATAATTTTATTTCATAATTTGTTTTTGTTTGATTATATGATGCAATAATTATGAAATAATGAGTTTATTCCTTCAAATTATATTTCATTTATCTTAATGGTAATGATGTAAAAATTTGGGTCGATTTATAATTAGGTATTTTTGTTTGACAAAATGTGATTACACACTGTTAAAATCCGAAGGGCAAGTTAAAACCCCCTTTAACGCCTTTAAGAAACTAAAAGCTTTTTTTATTTCAAGTTTACATCTTTAAGAGCTACTCTGAAATGATTTAAACATTTAGAAACTAACCGTAACAAACTTCAGATTTCATGTGTATACTTATTGAATTTTGCATTAACTACATTATCACACCAAACTAGATCCAAAACTAAAAATAATCAAAAATCCTATAACTATTAAACTATTTATCTTTTAGGAAATAATTTTACGAACCTTTTAAAGTAGTATTAATTTGATCCTGCTCATCTTCCACTGCGTTCTCATTTTCCACCGCTTCCTCATTTTCCACCACTTCCTCATTTTCCATCGCTTGCTCCTCGTGCGACGTTTGATCTTGCCCTTCTTCCACTGCCTGTTCTTTCTGCAATGACCCTTCTTCTTGTGCCGGCTGCTGCTCTTGCGCCACTTGCTCTTTTTCTACAATTTGTTCGCCTTGCACTCCTTGCTCTTCTTCCAGT